AACTTTTGAAATATAAAATATACGTCAATAAAAGTAGAAATGAAATTAGACAAAGGGATTACCCACATATTTACATGTATTTTATCCCTTTCATAGCGTAAAAGAACGAGTGATTACAATACGCAGACTCATTCGTTATGATGAATCTTTCCCTCTCGCTCTAGAATATAACAGTTCTGTGTGCTAAAATGGGATGAAGCGCCGGACGTCAAAGAAACCTAGATATGGTTAACATTAACCGTTAACGGTTTGCCTAGACAATTGGCTACTTGACTGTTTTAGGAAGTGTTTTTTAAACTTTCATAGTACCATATTAAACTATTATCAGATTTATTTTTCTCCGAGTATTAATAAATGAAGGAAAACATTAATTAATTTTAATTGTCCTGCGAGAACTGTTATCGAGCCATGTCGTCACATGTCAATAAACATGAGTTTAGTTTATTGAAATGTGACATCACACGATGTTCTGTCATGGCCGCGCATATTCCCCATTTTATAAATCGCAAGTAATTTTGCGAAAATATATATACTGTTTACTTAAAATTACTATTTCAAACATATTTCTTAAAATTATAATTGTCAAATAGCCAATTGACAGTGTAGAGACGCATCGTAATAACTTTTAACCTAAGAACAAGACAAAAATTAGAATTTAATGTGTGGTAAGAGTAAATAAAAAAATTTATATTCGCATTTGAGAATTTTCAAATCAAATGTAATTTTAAATTTTTTCACGAGTAGATTTTAATTCATCAGTTTTTCTATACTAATATCATATTTAGACAAAGAGTAAATTTGTGTTGTTTTGTAGAAAATCTTAAATCTATGTTACCAATCTAACGAACTGTCTAAGTCTATTGATAAACCGCTATTAATTTTACTTCAGAATACGTTATACATATCAACGTCTCTAACCATATAGACATTTCGCTTTTTCACATCATATAATTTCGTGATGATAAAAAAATATATAGAGGCCTTTTGCCAGAAAAAAAATAAGATTAACAAATAAAAATATAAAATGGAAACTATCGTATGGCAATATTTTAATTGCCGTAATCACGAAACTAAAACGCAAATTCAGTAAATATTTTTATTTTAAAGTTAAGATTTACCATAACCAGCATGAATTGTGAACTTTGACCTCAAATACTATAAAAAATTCAAATGAATGTGCAACGAAACTACAATATTATTTGGTAACGTATACAGTTTAATTTGTAAAACTGTAATAATTTAGGCCATGTATATATAAAACAAATCCGTGTCCAATGCGTGAATAAATAATTAAGTATCGATCGTTTCTCAATGACAGAAGATATGCAACTATATTGGTCCAAACGATAGCCGCATATGTATAATATGAAAAAAATAAGCCAGGCAAATGTATTAGTTTATAATAATGGCACTCACGCTTCCATACAAAATTCAATCATTAGATAAAATTAACAATTAACTAACAGCATCCAAGGAATGTATGAGCTACGTATTGCGGATATACAAACAAGTCTTATTCAGCACATAAGGCTATCATAAACTGAATTTCCACAATCGAATCTTAACCTAACTGTCGACAAAATACGGTTGAAAATGTATTAAAGAAATTTTACGGTCTGAAATCGATTGAAGAAAAGTACAACCTCATGTGCTGTAAATACAGTCACCTAATTTGATGTATTAGCTACTTTAGAACCTTGTCAGTTAAATAAACTGGTACCTAACTGGTTTGTAACCGAACGTAAATATATGTTATTCGAAATATCCCCTCGATTACAATATTACATCCAAAGTAACACTGGCATTGCACTGTCAAGAGTTTCCAAATTTTATAACATGACAAAACGCACTCATTTATTCAGGTACTTATATATAAACAGACAATCGTTTCTCCAACTCCTACTAACGTACAATTATAACAATTACAGTGACAAGGTTCCAGTGGCCTAGAGATCAAATTAGATAATTTAAAATACAATTAATACTCGCTCGGCGGCAGAAAGTTTAACTCGAGACCGTGGTTTAACTATAATACATTGTTAAAAAAAAAATATCCGCGAAAAATAACGTCCTTGTAAAAAATTTATTAAGTTAAACAAAAATAGTAGACACGGTCCCAACTTAAAAAAAAAACACTAACTTAACTACGAAGCTGTGATAACATGTTAATTACAATGTCACACAAACACAGCCTTCCTTCTCAGTCACATCTAATGTAATGGGCTCGTTTCTGAAATGTTTTTTCATTCAGCGTTTTGACATTTCTAAAACAGTATAGGTATATCGATTCCATACATTTACATCTTCGTGATGTTATCGGAAGGCAAACTCTGTTCAATCAAAAAAACAAACAGTCAAATCTTTTTTCTTTATAACATTAGTAAAGACGTGCAACTAAGGAATCATTTTATTGTGCCCATTTAAAGGGTCGAAAAACATATTTATTTCATATATATTACATTTTTCTCTGCGGCAAACTAATGGAAAGAATAGAAAATGTCGTCTTAAATCGTAAAAGATAAAAAGTTTGGTTATATATAACCTGGAAATAATATTAAGGTGCAAAAATACAAATAAAATATACTGAATCTGAATTATTATTTTTATTATTTAGTATTTGTAAAATGATTATAAACATTTCAGAAATCGAGCTACAGATACTAAATGTTAGTACAAATTTTTGGAAGCCACTTTTCTACATTTACATATAAATATATGCATATAAAACAGAATTTCGTCAGTGTATAATAATTTCGTTCTGTGTTTGTACTAAAATTCAGTACTTATAAAAGACCTATTTTATAACATCCATACGATAGGGAAGTAGGAAATTGACATTGGATATTATGCCTTACGAGAAAGAGTTAAGAGTGAAGATTAATATTCGATGAATTAATATCATAGAGGAAGATTTGATTTAAAGTTTTAAAATGAAAAATCAACTTTTGAACACTCGCTAAGGATGTATGTTATTATGATATATTTATAAGAACTGATAAATATGCATCGCGAATGATGCTAACTACACCAAATGTTTAAGCTTTACCGACATGTAACTAACAATATTTTCTATTTCATTAACATCAAATACTTTATCTTCACCAATTTTCTACTGTTTAAATTAACATGGTTCGTTACATTAATTCGTTTTGACACTAAATATAACTAGATGGCGTTAATGTTACAATTTGATGATCCGGCTTTTTCATGAATGAAACATTATGTATTACCAATTTAGTTTATAACAAAGTGAATCCACAGATTAAATTAAATTATTATTTAAAAAACATGCTATTACAATACTTACGCCATCTCTTGACAGTCAAAACGAATGTATTTGTGACGTCTTTTAATTGTGATCCAAATGTCTCAACCAAAGACCAAACAGTAACTTTAGAACGTGTAAAACACATGTGAACATTTCGTCACCATTCATATTGTTGTTCTCTTCCCAATATGCGAACTTTTTACTATAGTCTCTACAAGATAATATCTTTGCGATTACTTTACGCAAGAACTCACGCAATGGCCGGGGCTTTTCCTCTTTCTCGTATCTCTCCTCTTCCATACAAATTTGACAGCCACAATTACTACTTATTTCTACTAAATTGGAAGTATCGGTTATATTATCGTATTCGTTTTTGGCAACACCATCCACGGAACTGGTAACATACGTTGCCACGACAGTGGATTCATACTCGCTATTTGTTTCCGGCTCAACAATTTCAGCATCATATTTGACTTCATAACTATCCTTTAAACTCGTAAAACCAGGAGCGAAATCAGTGTCCGATTGTGTCAAACTGCGATTTTTGTCTTTGCGCGTCCTGGCAGTTATATCTTCACTGCTATGGTATTTACTCAAGTTCTGTTTCAATACTTCTTTTCTTAAGTTGGTTCCCAACCTTCTGATTCCCTGATAAGACCAGTTTCTCTTTAAGCCAAATTTACGTGATGATTCCCCGAATTCCTGCCCATATTTTGTTTCACTTACACTATTACGTAAAGAATCTTCCGATTTTATGTTCCCTTCGATTCCCGATTGTGATGAGTACTCTTTTTTCCGACGAGCTATCAAAGTCGGCTGACTATTTCTATCAATGGCTTTATCAAAATCGTAATACGATATGGTTACTTCTGGTTGCATCAACTTGCTTCTATGATACGATCTAATTGTTTTTTGCGAGACGGTATTTAAGTTTTTAAGTTCTTCAAGCGAATTTTTAGATGGTATATTAAGTTTTAATTTTTCAGCAACAGGTGTTGGTCCACCTCCGATTTTCTCTCTTCCCATATCAACAGAGGACAAACTGTCATTTGATTCACTCGATTCAACCGATATGCTCCTGTAAAAAGTTCTCGTCGTCGACTGAGCATCGTCGTCGGTATAATCGCTATCATAAACATCGGTTTCTTTATAATTATCAATATTAGAAAAAGAGAAATTCCACCTCAGTTTCTTGATTTGCGGAGACACACTCCCGCTGGCCATTTCTATATTTCCATAACTGTCCCTCAGGACCGACAAACCTATACTGCGTCCTGGAGCGTTAGCAAATTCTGTGGATACGCGTCTACTTCTCGCTAAAGTCGGAGAAGCGGGCATATCGTCGAATATTCCGTACCGTTCCGCATGAGTCTGATTCGCTTCCGTGCGCAAAGTCCACGCGGAACCGACGTTACTGCCTGACCAATCAGAGCCGACCGTTTGTAAATACTCAAATATATCTTTACCTCCATCCAGGGAGACGGACCTGCGCAGGGGTATTTCATAATCGAACCTACCTGGGTCTTCTCTATCTTCCAATTTGCCCAGCCATACATCGTAGTCCGTGTTGACGTTCAAAAGTTCCTGTCTGAGATCTAGTTGGAGTTTGTGGTCGGAGTGTCGGCGTTGTTTGTAGATGTTGGCGGATGTGTTGGCGGATGTGTTGGCAGATGTGTTGGCGAGTGTGTTGGCGCCAGTGTTGGTGTTGGTGTTGGGCGATGGGTCGGAGTGCCTACGCGGGGGCGGTGGGGGCGCCACTGGGCGCGGACATCTTGTGCGCGAGCGTGGAGAACGAGCGGCGCGGGAACGAGCCCACGGTGATATCAGACTCAGCAAAGAGCTTGCGAAAACTGCACAAACCAAATTCAGAGATATAATAATATATAATAATCAACATATAGTAGCGATCAAGATATCAAAATTATGTTGATCGAAATTAATAATTCATATCTATATTATTAATTTTATATCAACATCGAATAGAAATATTTCTTTTTTCGTAACAAAAAAATAAATAAATGGAATACAATAAAATAACCAAAGTTATGGGTGACAGTCATGCTACGCATAGAAAGAGCCTGTTAAAACTTAAATTATGGTTAATATTAACAAACTTATCAGTATTAAAATCATTATCATAGATATCTTTCATCAATCTTCATAGACCTTTATTTATTCGTATATGTAGTACACGCAATAGGGATTTGAAATTAATATATCGTGATAATCAATTGAACTAAACGGAATATGAAAGAATACATTTCACTATAATCATTTACCGCTGAGCAGGGGGTTAATTGTCTAATTTTAAAGTCTATCTCAATCCATTACAACTTGACATTTGAAAGCCATTCGCGACCTTTACGCTTTAACTATTTGACATGTAATATCGATTGCGATCGTGAATTTTTTAAAGATATTAAACGAACGATATATTTTATTTCAACGTGAAATAAAATATATCGTACCGTATACCGTAAAATAATTGGAACTGTATAAGGCAAACCTTATATAGACAAAAATATCTTTAAATATCAAACTACATGCAATCTTCTATCGAGTTTAAATAAGTTTTTATTGTTTCTTGATCGTTCATTCCAAAAACGATTGCGGCTTTCAAAGTTACATAATCTCATAAATCGTTATACCTTTTGAAGGGTGTGCGATCGATTTTAAAATTAGACACGTAACACACAGTTCAGATTCAGATTACAGAAATAATGAGTTACAGTTAATAAAGTAAGCGGCAAAAGTTGCATGGAAGCAACAAAGACAGAAAGCGTCTCTACACATTGTTTCGAGCACAATTTTTATAAAAAGGGCTTGGAAACCGGTTAAATTTCAGTGCTATTTCGATCGGTTAATATAAATTATGTGCCATAACAGGTGTAAGCATTGGCGTGAGGTTAATATTCCTAGTATTAATGAATTATATTAATTTAAAATCTAGACAGCCTGAACATATCAATCATATTTTAAAGGATTATGATATTTTAGACACATATCGCAAGTTTTAAAATTCAAAGAAATCTTATTTGTTGAAACCCAACAAATAGCTATTTAGAACGATTTTAGTGAAGCGGTTAACAGCAAAACAACTAACCGGTTCATCAAAAATGTACCGGTTTATGGATTATATTAACTACTATTCTAAAACGGATTCCAAACCCTGTTTATAATACCCACATACCGTACAGTCTTCAGTACCAAGGGCCGAAAGAGATCCGCGGCGGCGGTGATCGCCTCCCCTGGTCACGTGACGTCAACGCCAACCAAAACCTATACGACACACTTGATAAGGGGGACGCAACGAAAAACGGGTATAAAATAAAATTATAACAATAAATAAACAATAGGGACATTGAAAGAAAGAAAGAATTAAATAAAAGGAAGTACTCGAGTAAAATGAATACAAAATAAATATTATTTTCTTATTATTCCTACTATTCCAAATTCAAATTAAAATATGTAGGCATAATATTAAATAACGAATTTGAATATTGCCACTCTAATGAATTTTATTACAAAAAAAAAAGGTATCGATGAGTTGAAAGTTTAATAATGAGGGTTGAAAATTTAACAAAAGAACAATATCGCATAAAGTAAAATTCCACCAAAAAATAAAAACAACCATAGTTCGCTAAGCTATAAACAGCTTAGCTTTTATGTTGATATGAGTTTCTGTGTTTACATTTAAAAGTGCTATATGAACGAACTAGTGTTTAAATGAATAATTATCATATAAAAAGGTTAAATAGAAAATATTAAGTAATAAGAAGAAAGAAAACATAAATTAAGGGTAGGAATTTGGTATATAATAAGAACAGTGGAATAAGCTTAAAGCATCGGTCGAGTGCTAAGATCTTTCCATGCATCGTGTTTCGTGCCATAATGTAACGATGCGTCGGTATTCGTGTGATCTCTTTCGGCCCTGGTCACATTTTCCAGTTATAATTTAAACCACCTATAAAGATAAAAATAATTTTGAATGAAAGATTAAAGGTAACGGTTTCTATAAGACCATGCTTCTACTGACCCAATTAGAGAGAAACAAAATGTACCAGAACCAAATAAAGCGAGTGCATTATAATGTAAGACAACACCGTGATATGAAAATGACATGCGTGTAGAACTTTAGTATTTCGTAGGTTTTTAATGATAATTCGTAAACGGAAAAGGAACATAGCGAAAATGTATTTATTGTAAATATATAATCTCATATACATGTATATGGTCTTTTATTAAGAATTATGTGACAATTAGATAAAATTGTTAATGTTACGAGATACAAAAAGTTCAGACAGAAGAAAACAGATAGCGAACAATTAAAGTTTATAAGAATTCATTATATTGTCATGGCATGTATAAAATCTACTTTTAATAAAAAAAACTGACAAATTAGTGACTATTTTAAGATATAATACAATCATATCGAATACATATTACAAAACATGGATATAACATGTGACATATGCCTCTTAAAAGTGATATAAATAATATAAAGGATTGAAGTAAAATACATAGCAGATTTTTCATGCACAATTTCGAAAATTATTTACTGTGTTAACACCAGCCGTGCAATTCTGTAAACACATTTCGAACATCGGAAAGCTGAATTCACAGTGAGATTCAAATTTGGTGAGTGAGATGCAAAACTCAAAAACGCCGCTGGTGCCTCAATGTCGAACGCGGAATGAATTGACGTAAGATAAGTTAGATTTTGACGTTCGTCAACCCAGCCATTATTTTCTTAATTTCATCTAAAACTGGCATTGATGTCATGATTATTTGTCCACAGAAAAACTCTACATTTCTTTTATTTAATATTATATACGGAACAAGATAATTCAATTCATACTTAATTCAGATATTCCATCTCTGTGTTATTTCGTAACTCACTTATCACTGCAGTTGCTATTTAACAAACAGTTTGACTTCATATTTAATTTCAACGCAACTATATAATTTGTGATACTTCGTGAGTAATGCTGAGAAGAATTATTTTTCTCAAATTTTTACTGAGAAAGGTAACCAGATTAGTATTAATTTAAAAAAAATTAAAAGAAACTAGACGGCATCATTTTTCTTTATCTATAGTAATCTTATTTGTTACATAGACTCGATATGACAAACATATGATAACTATTAGCTAAACCAGACCGCGTTAAAATGATATATATTTACAAATTCGTACAACAAGATCAAATTAATCCATAACAATTTTTCGACACAGAAAATACATATGGCAGAGTTGAATTATTTATATGAAAAAAATTCCAGAGTGATAATCGGGATTACTTATAAAATAGAGCCTCATACACCATCACCTTTAGATGAACAACTCTTAGACTTTACTTACCTCCCCCTTCAAACACCATTCAATATAAATATGTTAACATAACAGAATATCATATAGAGGTGACATAAAAATCATTTAAATTTTAAGAAGCGTTAACTACCAATCAACGCGATCAAGGTCTTAATCTTGTCACAATTTTAATGAACTCATTGTTAAAAATATATAAACCGGTTGACGTCGACGAAGCAAAATAACCGGTTTCGGTTTAAGTTATTAAAAAACCTAAAATGGTAATATCAAAAGAAATTACTGTTTATGTACAATATAAATAATCACAAACAATCGTTTGACACGGACCATATTTTCCCTAAAGAAAACAGTTCTAGTTTTAAAAGCTTTCAAATAATACCGCCATTCAAGATAAGTATTAAATCAAATTTTACTTTAGCTAAAACTCCCTTTAGAGAACCGTTTCACAGTAATTTATACAACACTTTTAGAAAAAAATACTTGATTTCGATGGCACCTCTGATCTTTTACAGCAAGGCCAAAACACTATACTATTAAGAAAATTAAAATATACCAATTTACTACCAAAATCTAACGAACTTTAGTACAAAAAGTTAACAAATGACAATTGTGTTTAATTTGAATTGAATTCGAATTAGATAGTTTTCACGGAACTAAGAATTCTTTTTTTATGAACTATGGAGGACAAAATCGTTATGTATTGATTTAATTTAAATCAATACATAATCATGTTACATATAATATTTTATTATTTTGTTTTCTATTTACTTCCACTTTTTTATTGTATAATAATGCCCCATAGTAGTCAAATATAGTACATAAGTACATCAAAATACATATGCTAAAGTGCACAGTAAATAACTTTTCTTAAATCAGCAAAATTACGATTTGAAAAATGACCTACACCTGTGATGAATTAAAAAGAGCCAGAGTGTGAACGTAACTTTAGACTTAAAAGGCCTGCATAGAAAATTTAGATTTAAAAGGCAATTTACCTCAATTGTGAATCTAATACAATCGTGCATCTCCTATAGTTTTAATTCATGCCATGTTTAGTGTAAGTGATTTATGCGTAATAATACTCACAACTTCCTGATTCCGCTGTTCCTCTTCCAGGGCGCGTCGTCAGGTTCGGCGGGAAGAGGCCCTTGAACTGGAGCTTCTTCTTCCTCCGCCGCCACCGTACTCATTGAAGGCGATGTATCTGAACTGCTGCAGTTACAATAAATTATTGATTATTGATTCTCTCTGTTCGGTGACCGTGTTATAAAACGTATCAATTTATTTAAAAACAAATAATCGAGATTATTTAGGTTAAAAACAAATAATCGAGATTATTTAGGTTAAAAACAAATAATCGAGATTATTTAGGTTAAAAACAAATAATCGAGATTATTATTTGTTTTTAACCTAAGTAATCTCGATGTTTTTTATTATTTGTATTTTAATAATCGATATTATTTGTTTTTTAGTTGTATTTATGGACAGTTTTCACACCTTAAAATAAATTATCCCCGTATCGTCAATATCATATTTTGTATTAGCAGAATATAGTGACAATTGACTTATTTGACAGTTACAATAATAATGTTGGAAATGTTAACTTAGGTGTTAACAATAACTGCATTAATTTTGGAAAATTATATTGCCATTTATAATTTGTGAAGGGGTCATCCATAAATTACGTCACACGATTTTCATGTTTTTTTTTTGCCCCTCTCCCCGTCCTAGTCACAGATGGTCACATTTGTAAGACTCCCCCCTCCTGGTGTGATGTCACATATTTTGCAAGGTTTTTGTAAAGTTATAATTTAGAGTTCATGTTTTAACACTTTGATTATAATACATTTTGAAATGTGACGTCACGAAATTTAGGACCCTCCCACCCCTTGTCACACAATGTCACACTTCACTGACCCCCTCCCTCCCCCCTTAACGTGTGACGTAATTTATGGATGGCCCCGAATCACAAGAAACAAATCGCGGGCGGCCATAACGAAGCATCGTTTGACGTCATATTTCAATAAACTTATCACCTTTGTTACGAGTACAACCAGTGCTCACGTTTATGGAATTATAACGTTACGACTTAGAATAGAATATTTTTTTGCGAGAAACATGGAAACGTTATAGCTGGTTTGTTACAATAAGAAACACACATATTTCACTAAAGTACGGCATGCAAAAATGTTGTTTCATTATTTTTTAAATAAAAATTAAACAACTGAATGTCACAAGTAAATCAATGAAAACAAGAGTATTACAATTTTATAACAGAATGGTCAATCAATATAATGTCAGAATGAGAACAAAATTATATAATATTAAATATAATTTTATTTAATGTTCAAATATTAGACTATATGGAGCTTCTTAGTCAACCGTTTACGTAAAGCTGTAGCGAACCGACTTGCAGACAGTTTTCTAATATGCATAGGAATGTTATTGTACGCCATAATGCACATGCCGTAGCAATTTCTTTGAAAAAACGCGCTCCCCAACAAAGACTGGTGTTGCAGACGATTACCATCTTGAAATGTCACATGACTGATTGTTTTAGAAACAGTTTAAATTAATGGACAGAAATATGTTTTTCCTTTATTTGATAATACTTTTAGAAAGAAAACTAAATCTGTTAGTGATGTAATATGATAAACATTCAAGTAGCAATCAGTTGACTAAGCGAGTCTGCTTAGTTTCATTTTTCCAATATAGCAGACAGACAGCCAGTTGCACATACATACATTATAATTGTCATTAGTTTAAAGCGACATTACCCATACGAATTTGACATTCATTAGAGCTTAAAGGCGTCATTAAACCTTAATGGATGTTTGTGCAACTGACCGAGAGACAGGAATCCGCAATTTCAATCCGCGAAAAATCATTTATTACTCACCTGTCTTGTTGCGGTTCAACCTGTAACGCCTGCAACTGTTCCTCGGCACGGTTCAGCTTCAGCTTGAGCTCGTTCCTCTCGTGCAGTATGGCGCGCAATTCTCGCACACTGAACGTCGGCTTCGACGACTGATCTTCGTCGTCGCCACCTTCGGGCGTTACCGCGCCGCACGCTGCGCACTTCTGAGACAACATATTTTTTAAATAGGTGAATTTATAGGTGGCATCCATTACCAAACTATTTTAAATGTTACATTTCAACAAAAATTTATATATATATATATATAATTCTTGCGTTACTGAGTGAGTGACTGACTGACTAACAGACAACGTACAGCCGAAACTACTGAGGGTAGAAAGTTGAAATTTGGAATGAAGATTCCTTAGGATGTGTAGAGGAGCATACGAGAGGATTTTTGTTAATATCACCCTGAAGGGGCTAAATTAAGGGATAAAAATTTATACGAAACTTCGTTACTACAAGTGCTAGGAGTTTCAAATTTTGCATGCGGGTTCTTTTTAGGACTTAGGTCCTCACTAAGATGGAATTTTACGAAATTCGACCCCTAAGGGGGTTAATTAGGGGATGTAAGTTTTATTGGAATTTTCTCATTTCTGGACTTAAAACTAGACCACGCAAGCGAAATTGCGGGCAAAAGTCAAAATGAGTAGCAAAAGGTACCACAACACCCAGACTCGAGATAATATAGAACAGTTCATTTCTAAATTGACCCAACCGAGAATGGAACCTTAGACTTAAAGATGGCGACACAAACCGGGGTGCCAACTACTCAGCTACAGGGGTAATCATTGTAAAGAAAAATAAACTACTTATAACAATGTCATAATTATCTTGGGAAAATTACGAATACACATACTCTTAAATACGAATTACTTGCCTCTAGATAAATGAATTTATTTATAACAATTATTTAAAAATATTAACGAAAGCATCTGACTTTATCAAGTATCGCCCTATTATATAGTTTTAGTAATATATTCAGTATCTTCGTACTTTTGTTATGATAATTAATTTGTAATTTACAATCAAACTTGTTCAATCTTATAATTAGATTTACAATTGAAAAATCTTTAGTGTCGTGTTTACTTTTTAATTATATTTAAAAAAAATCACCACATTAAGTTGCAACAAAAGGAAAACTTTCGCCTAAGCTATTTTAAACTAGTTGATAGACAGTATGGCTCACCTTGTCTTGTGCATTCATTTGCTGGAGCGCGCTGATGTCCCGTTGCTGTGCTTGCACTATGGCCGTCAATTCGGAACGCTCCTCGCATACCAGACGCATCTGAATAAATAATTCAAAGAATGTTTTTCAACACATATCTTCTTTAACTACATCTAGTTTACTTTAGCCACTAGTTTATAAAGTAGTTATTGTACTGTAACCACACAAATAATATTCCCATTTTTATCATACTAGCTGTTTCCCGCGACTTCGCACTCGTAAATTATATCCTATATCATCCGCCCATGTAATAGCTACCTGTAGGGGAAACAAGTTTTGAAATCGGTCTATTCGATGTAAACAAACAAAAACATACAATCAAATGTTTCCTATTTATAATATTAGTATAGATATTATCTTTTTGATTTACTAATAAATATAAAATCATTAGATCAAATTACAGCATAATATTTCTAGATTAACACAGAATAGTTATCTGTCTAAAAAGATTAGACCTATACGATTACGGTATCCACATTATAGTTAGTCGAGCGTAACACCTTTTCCGGACAATGCCATAGAGTTTATGAATAAATGAACATTATCTTATTAAATTATATTAATCGTGGATAAGAATGTCTAGGCCTTTTGTCATGCAGGTGCACATTACACATTGAATGTGATTAATTAAATCCCAAACATAAGAAATTATAAAATCAATAACATATATATTCTCGAATCGATATTATTAACATTATAGAGGGGAAGATTCGATTGTTTATTTGTATACAATCAATTTTATGTAAACAAACAAACACTAATTTAAAATTTATTCACCTACTAGGGGAAGCTTGATAATGCGCGAGCAACATAGATTATAATTTACGCAGTCGATGTCGCGGGAAAACAGATGTTACACTATAATTAAATGGATACCTCATTTATGATAAATTTTCATTTTACATACACTGTCATCCACTCAACGGATATTTGCCATGTCTATTGAAATGTATTTATTGTATTTACCTGATTTTGTAGTTGCTTATGTTTGCGTCTCAGGTCCCGACTGACTTGGGCCAACTTCTCCACCTGATTGGTCAACTGCAAAGTGTCCAAAATAGCCATTTTAATATAACAAACGAAAAAAAAAACACTAAAAGTTACACAAAAAATTCAAAAGCATGTTACTACAAGTTATAGTAAAACCAAAATCACATGACGTTCGACTATAATTCCATCGATCGCTTTATCATATCAGAGGAGAGAAAAATAAACACAGATAGGTACTTATATAAGTTTATAACGACATTGAAGACTGTTAGCAGATTAGATATGTCAAAATATAAATCTATATATAAAATCATTGATCCAAATGTTATCTGTCGGTTAATACAAAAAAATAAATCCGCACACACCCATTACAGGCTTAATGTGTTTATCAGTCGCGATAGTATGTTTAAATTATTCTTCACGAGTTTTGTATTCACAATTTCATTTAAAAAATACTTGAATAGCACAAAATCCTAAGTAGGTACGGTTGATGGCTTCTGTCCCCGTTCTTACTCTTCAGAACAACTTCTGAATAGACATCTGGGCCCCTTGCTAAGTTACTTGCCGGCCCCTGGTCTAGATCATCTATACTCAACCTGCGTCACGCCCATCTTAGGTACCTTCCTATAAAGTGTGTATGCTTAATAAAACGGATTAAAAAATAGTGTTACGCGATAACCGCTTGGGATATTTTGAAGACGTTGTATCGGAACGGTAACTCATACTCCTTTTGTAAAGTCCAATGTTTCGCATGTTAAAAAATAGAAACAACAGCACTGTCGTAATCAATCACTAATAAGGGCCCTATCCGATTCTCTCTCTTATTTCTACCAATATAATAATAAAATAATAAATTTGTTTATTTTTTTGTTTATATGTAATAAGGTCCGTAAACCCTAAGATATTTTTTAAAATTACTCTGTTACCCGATGCCATATCATACGCGGATAACATAGGTTATAATTATAATTTATGCGTTTTTATGTCTATTAATTATCAATTTATGGAGAAAGTATGAAAAAGTATAATTTATTTTCAGAGTTAGTATGTACGTGGGTTAGAATAAATTAAATATAATTATGATATGATTACGTGAACACGATCGAGTAACAACACGCATTCGACACCCTGAAGCCTTCCAAGGTAGATAACAACGCGAGAAGCGCCATGTTATTTTAAACATCGATCGTTTATATAATATGATATAAGTAGATAATAATACTAAAACATTATCATGTTATTTTAAATTGTAAGAAAGAAAGTTCCTTCATAGACTATAATAGACCAACATGAACAGATAACACAGGTATTATTAAATCTTTCTTGATTAAATAGTTTTATATCAGCGTATTCTATTCTATATGATTAGGTAAATAAATAATTTGAAATAAAAAAAATCTTTTTGAAAACAGCTTTTGTTGTACTAGACCTTAGACAGACAAATCCGATGAGCCCAAGGTCTCATAGCTACCTTCCGGCTTCATAATCATCCCCATTCCAAATTAATATTGCATTGGCATCCAAACTATCAATCTAATAACGGAAAAAAGTCAAATTTGACTTACAAGATTTGTCACACACTAACAAATTAAGTAACAAAGCGAGTTAATCAAAAGCTTGTAATGTTTACTTTTTTTTTTGATATATTTATTCATCTTTTATTGACTGCTGCAGTGCAAATTCAATCAACCAAATAAAACCTACTTCCTACCCGCCCGAGAAACGCCGGAGTAGCTCGAGAAACTGGTCGATAGTAAGATAGTCCCATACAATATCTCACTCTCGATTTCAGTTTGGCTTCCCGTATCGATTTCCGCAAAATAAACTATAATCAGTAAAGTATGCATTTTTTTGAAACGGTACAAGATGAATTATATCTTCAAATTGCTTTATCGTATGGTAATGAGACAGGATTCGTCCGAAGAGTTTCTCTCATTTATCATGAAAATATTGACGATTCATCCTTACAATTTCATGTTGTAATTTTTCATCGTTAAAAAACGGTTTTCATTGGACCATAAAATTGATTGACTACCTACAGATTCGATAATATCATGTTTGTATGTTAATAATAATATTTTTTCAAAGTACGTAGCGATATCTAATTTGGTGTCGAGATCTAATATTTCTTTTTCTAATTCTGGGAAATCGCTTTTATGCAATAAAAGTAGTGCGATTGAACTGCCTGTGTTTACTATTCATGTGTCCTTAACTATAAGACCAATTGTTCATATACAACATTTTTGAATGTATATTCTTATATAAGTCCATTACATGAATTTAGTTTTCAAACGACAAAAGTATTTTTCAAATAAGTGCCTTATTAGTTTCGGTTATTATCTTTCGTAAACATACAAATTTACTATTAGTATAGCTTTATTGACTTCTACTATTTAATCTACGAGAATACAACTTGAGAAGATCAAATATGACGTCCAATTTTTACATGACAAATTGAGCACTACGCGAAATTTACAATTTTAGTATATAATAAGGGTTGAGACCTTTTCCCCATCGATTACATAGGAAAGACCCATACATATTTCAGCAGTAAACATACCAGAATCAAAAATAAGTATATTTATATTAAATGAAAAGAAAATAATAATCATATTTATATGAGAATATCGAAAAAAATATTTAAAACAGGAACGTAATTTTATTCACGTATGCAGTCTACATGAACATGACCAAAATAGGAGCTTTTAGCTAGACGGACTATTCTTGCATTTGCCTCGTTCGAGAAACAATTAAAACTTTTAAATATTGTCTCATGAATTTGAAAAGGTTATTTTCACTGATCTAAATAAGATTACGAAACAACCAAATAACATCACGACCTGTTATGAAATGAAGGAAGCAATCGATGAGAAGAAATCTTGATGGTAACATTGTTTTCGTTTTGCTAAGTTACGTCACATAGGTATTATAAATACTTTTCTATTCTACTGTGGAGATACAATGCAACTCCTTGTTATGGTAAGTGTAAAGAAACCTTTTTAACAAATTCATTTTCAATAGCCAATAGATTATCATATAATGCACTCATCAGAGTTTAAGCGTTTGGAAAATACCTTCATTTTGCGCTTGGTCAAAATTCCATGGTCTGAATATGCAGAGATTCTCTTCGAATAAGAATAATTGGTAGTTTCACCTTATCTTAATCCCTTAGGATCAAGTTTTCGTACCGTGGCATTGGTATGATTTGGAGACGTCTTATATTTGCTCTGAAATCTCTTTTATATAAACTTATAGTTTCCCGAAGACTGCTTCACCCGCGTAGTTTGCAAAATGACAGCACATTTATCCCCAGTGAACAGGGACACAAAGTAGCCTCTAAGTTAATTCTAGCTTAGAAATATTCTTACACCAAATGTCTTTCAAATCTGTATAAATAGTAGTTTTTGTGTGAAAGAGCAACAAACATTTATATATATATATATATATGCAAACATACTCTGTGGGAGTAAAATAATAGGCCGTTCCTTATAATAAACTACGCAAATATGGTGGTGCTGTGAATCTTTATAAAAAATGATTCCCTTGTACATGGGATACACATGCAAGCTATAATAATTGAAACAACAAGCTGTAACGGATTTCTCCTATAATTTTGGTTTGAGAAAAGAAATTAAAAAATATAAATGGTGTACAATTTATTTTTGAATGAAGTGAAATAACAATTTTTAAAATTCAATTATAATTTTTATACTAATTACAAATGATTAATTCCAAACTACTAAGTACAAATTACCAATTACAAATCCCCAATTACAAATCACCAATTACAAATCACTAATTACAAATCACTAATTACAAATCACTAATTACCCCCTTTAAGTAAAAAAAGGTATTTATTTGTTTGACCTTGGCTTCGCTGCCGTACTCAGAAGGAGTACGGCAACACAACAAACCGGGGGCTGTCTGTTGTCCTACGGTCTCACTGTCCAGCGTTATAAGTCGTAGACAGAAAATAACATTTATTAAACTTAATGTTACTAAACACAAAAATAGTTGGGCACAGCTCAATGTTCAGCTTGTCTTTTGTTTAAATAAATTTAATACAATTTCTTCCACCTCAACAACAAAACAATCAGGTGCTCCTTTTTATTCAGCTCAGTAATGTAGGTGGGTCAAACCACAGATACCCATCCACATGGAGCGATATAGCATTTACATACGGTTACTGGTGGTACCGTCAACCTGTATCGGACAACTCGCACCAGGCAGCCAGTACAATACAGCCAGTACCAGACAGTCAGGATAATACAGCCAGTACCAGACAACCGGTACAATACAGCCAGTACCAGACAGCCTCTCGGTTTGAGAGGCGAAAAATTGTAAAAAAAACACTTATGCGACCGGCGCCCACAAATTCGCAGCACTGCTCGGCCTTCCCTGCTTCGAAATCACCACGAATGGAAGCTGTGGAACCATAGGAAAGTCTTAGATCACAAGCCTATCAAGGTAACAACTCGTGGGGGTCCTTCTTCAAGAAAACAAGGAAAAGACGTTTTACTTGTTCAAAGAATTCAATGTCGAAACAAGGATTACAAAAAGTTCGAGAATAAGACAATAGGAAACTTACCCCACGTATTCAACAAAACGAGCCGAGACACGGTAGACTTGTAGACTTCTCTTCACTCTTAGATGATCAGCAGAATAAAAGGAAAGACAAAGCCGGGTTCCGACTTAAATACGATTTCCATTTCCATTCGACTCAAGCGACCTGAACAGCTGTTAAATGAAGCAACTCCGTTTCACGGACAACACACAATGGCTACAAATTTTGACCTTTAAAAATTTAATGGGAAAAATACATAAATAAAATATTTATGTTTTATTGAATTGAAAATAAAATTATAGGACACATGCAAATATGCATGAAAAAACTGACAAAACCCTGCATACAAAGGAATATAACTAGGTGACAACTTCACACTATTGCTTTATTTTCTTAATTCAACGTTCTAAAACCTGAAGTCTGATTTAATAATTTTGTTATAAAAAAGTGAGTTTTCGAAATAGCTATTTATTGTAATTTTAACGAA